TTCTAGTAGCCAGCTAACGCAGGCTCCCCATCATTGAGCGGCTTGGTCTCTGAAGCCCGTGTCTTTTGGGTGGCGTTTCAGTAATTTCAATAAATAATTAAAGTCGAGTCATTTTATTTGCAACCCTGTTGGTCACACGTCGGTCACTTGATTCTTGCATCGTTGGGTAGTTCTAGTAGCCAGCTAACGCAGGCTCCCCAATTAAGCGATCAGGTTTTGGGTGTCGATTTGTGCTCTGACAAAAAGGGCCATGAACTAATTAGTTTAGAGTCAAATAAGGAGTAACTGTTCCACGTTTAATACAAAATTTAGAGTTTTGTAATTAACCAAATATTGTTCTGTCAGTTTTGTTAGGATCTAGATCCATTGTAAATTGCGTTATTTTCTTGCATTATTAAATTGCATTATAAATTGCGTTATTTTCTCGCGTTGCGCATATTATTATTATTAAAACCGCGTAATTGAAGTAGTTAGCTACCGTTCTGCGATTTGCGTCAACAACAAGTCTATTATACTCCAATTTGCTTATAGAATTCAGTCACATATACATTTTTATATTTACTAAAGTAATTGTTAATTATAACTCTTTTTCTCATCATTATTTGAATAAACCTAATTAATGAAAGGTATTAACCTGTAGATTTCACTCTTTAACCACACGCCACCACGATCCCACATTCTTTTAGAATTAGTTATAGTAAAAACGAGTCGCTTAATAAGCAAAAGCCGCTCTTTGCTTCATAAGCGCTGTAAAATACCTGAGTCTAGTACCAGGGACGCTACACTCTTCCTCAGTCGAATTCATCTATTCTTTGAAACACGAAATTTCTCCATGTTGGAAAGATTTCGACGATACACCAATTTTTACCAATAGATTCTTTACATTTTTCTCATTAGCAAAAGACCAAACACGACATAATTTGGACTATATTTACTGGTTGAACTAGTGGAATGCGTTCGACGTGTATACACGTCGGACAAATCTCTTCTGCAGTGCGTTTGACGTGTATACTCGTCGTGTAAAATAAAAAATTACCCTTCGCTATAAAAACGCTATAAAAAAATGTAATAAGAATATTATTTGATGCTATGTTCCTCAACGTTTTCCATACCTGGTTTCGCCCATCAATGGGCCAATAACGGCGCCTGATGGCATATAAGGTGTTTTGAACACCTGCGTGTAAATGAGCCCGATGTTCTGCCGTAATTATTAACCGGGTTATGTGTGATTTTGGTAAAATGATGGGGTGACGCTGAGGGAACGGCATCATCGAATGTTTGAGCCTTCCTCCAACTCTTAGTATTCCGGTTTTGTCAATAAATGGGGTTAACCGTTGTAGCTTCCCTCCAACGTTGGGATTATTGCTTGACAGGACTCTTAATTCTTTCGCGAAATGTGTCTGCTGTAAAAGTCTGATGATTTTGTCATGGGCTTCCTTGAGTTCCGTAGCGGTAATATGTCCTGATTCGGTATTCGACTTGCGCCATCGCAGGCAACGAGCGATAACTCGTTTCATCCTTTCCCACGATGAAAATCTATTGAGTATGTTGATGTCCATGGCTGTGGTAGAGAGACAAGTTACTGTCTTTTGTTCTGGGATCTCCTCGTGAAATGGTATATTCTGAATTGGCCATACAGATTCTTCTTGTCGAAGCCATTCTGGACCGTGTTGCCAGATAGAAGGCTGTAGAAATTCTTCGGGGTGTTGGCCTCGTGAAATCAAGTCTGCGGGGTTATCCTGTGTTGGTATGTGTCGCCATTCTGCAATATCTGTTTTTGTTTGTATCTCTGACACTCGATTTGCTACAAAGGTCTTGAGGGTATGTGGAGATGTTTTTAACCAATGCAGCACGATAGTTGAATCGGTCCAGAGAACGGTGCGATCAATTTCCACCTGTAAGGCCCTTCTTGCTGTGATTATTAATGCTGTCAACAGCAAGGCACCACACAACTCAAGACGCGGAAGAGTTTGTGTTTTTAACGGTGCAACCTTTGATTTTGCCAACAATAGTTCAGTGCATATTTCGCCGCTCTCGTCCATTGAACGAATGTAGAGGCAAGCTCCATATGCTTTCTCGTTGGCATCGCAGAATCCGTGCAACTCGATTCTTGATGATGCATTGGCGAGTACTTTTCTATGAAAAACTACGTTATTCAGTAATGACAACTGCTGGTAAAACTGGTGCCATTCGGTATGGATGTCCATCGGTAAGGATTCATCCCAACCCACCTTAATGGTCCAGATACGTTGCAGCAGCATCTTCGCCACTATTATGACTGGTCCAAGGAGACCTAACGGGTCATATATTTTAGCGATTTCGGAGGTGATAAGTCTTTTCGTGACACGTGGGGCGCCGAAGTCAACCTTCACCTGGTAAGAAATGGAATCATTTGATGAGTCCCACATTATTCCTAACGTTTTTAACGTGGTTGACTCTCCCAGGTGTAACTTTTTATTAATGGACTCTTCATGCAATCCCTGTAGAAGTGTTTCCCGATTGGCTGCCCATTGACGTATATTCAGCCCCGCGAGATTCAAAAGTTGCCTTAATTCTTCTCGGATCAAAATGGCTTCCTCTTCTGTAGATGCTCCTGTTAGTAGGTCATCAACGTAGAAGTCTCGTAGAAGAATTTTTGCGGCTGCAGGAAATTTGTGCCCTTCATCATGCGCTAATTGAACAAGGCAGCGCATCGCCAGATACGGAGCGGCAGATAAGCCAAATGTGACTGTCTGCAGTTCATATGTATGAACCTTATCGTCCGAATCTCTCCAGAGAATACGTTGATATTTCTTATCTTCGTCACGAACAATGAATTGCCGGTACATTTTTTCTATATCACCGGTGATAACGTACTCGTGAATCCGGAAACGTAAAAGTATGTCCAGCAAATCATCTTGTACCCGTGGCCCAATATGTAACGCGTCATTCAAAGAAATTCCGGTGCTTGTAGTAGCTGACCCGTCGAAAACCACGCGCAATTTCGTCGTCTCGCTTGTGATCTTCATCACGCCATGGTGTGGCAAGTAATATCCACCTGACGTAAGCTGCTCTAATGGGACCTTGACCATGTGACCTAGATGTAAATATTCTTCGATGACTGCGTGATAATCTTTCTTGAGAGCTGCGTCACGTTGTAGTTTTCGTTCTAGTGATTCTAGTCTCTTCAACGCACGAGATCTAGATTCCCCTAACTGCGTTACCTTATCGTTAAAGGGTAATGCTACAACGTATCGGCCGTCAGCTCTTCTGGAGACATGTTGCATAAAATGAAATTCACAATATTCATTTGCTTTGGAAAGAATTTGGACTTGTGGTCCTTCTTCTATTTCCCAGAAACGTGTTAGGGATGATTGGAGTGTCTTGTTCGAATGATAATTTAGGCAACGTCCCTGCGATGATGTGGGTGGACTTCCCCCTATTACCCATCCAAGTCTTGTTTTCTGTATATACAAGTCGGGACCGTGAGGGGGAGAAAGATTTATCTGTCCTATGCTGAGTAAGGATAATGCTGCACCGGAACCGAGTAAAACGTCTATCGGTCCTGGTCGATGAAAATCTGGGTCCGCTAAAGTTATGTTTCTTGGAATTTTTATGTTTGTAGTGTCAACCTGTTGTTCAGGCACTCGCTCTGCTATTTTCGAGATAGTTAAGAACGTCAAAGTCCGCTGGAATGTACTGACTCTGGAGTGCATGGTGGCCGCGATTGTGTGTTTCGCGACAATAGACATTGAATTCAGAGCACCTATGGGGATATGACATTCCTGTTTTGGAAGGTCAAGCCGTTTCGCGAGATTTTCTGTGATAAAATTTGTGGTAGAACCTGTGTCGATTAACGCCCGACATTTTATTAGTTGTTGATGTTTATTTTGGATATCAATTTGTGCTGTAACGAGTAGGTCATTGTTTATGGTATCGACTATGAATGAATGTGCTCGGCCCTTCCCCTTTGTACTCCCAGGTAGCTGTCGTCATTGGTCTTCTACCTGCGCGTCTGATGTTATTACGTGCTTTGTTGATTTAGGTAATGTCAAGTTTTCTTGATCTGGTAACCGTCTTGGTTGATGCAATAAAGTGTGATGGGGTTGTCTACATATGCGACACGATCCCTTTCTACAGATTTCTGGGTTATGTTCGCTTCTTAGGCAATTGGGGCACAAAGCTGCCTCCCGTACCGTGGCTATTCTGGCGTCTATTGAAGATGAATGGAATTTTTCGCAGCGCCAAATTCCGTGAGGTCCATTACAGACTGGACAGTTCGCGGGTACTGTTGCTGTCGTGTAAATTGTCCCGTTTGATAAAGAAGTTGAAGGTGCAGTCGTCGGGTTGAGGCGATCACGAGTTTGAGAATTATCGAATGTTGTCGTTGTTACGAAAGCGTGAGGTTTTGTGGGGTATTTGTATGACGACGGTTTCATAGGTGTCGTACGGAGATTCTGAATGGACACAACGGGTTTGTGTTGATTCGTCGGCGCGCAACTTGCTCGCTTTTCTAAGAAATCTATAAGATTTTTATATGACGGCATTTCTTTGTCTTTTAGGGATAACTCCCAATGCCACGCAGTGTCAGTGCTTATCTTAGACAGAATGATAGTGATGAGAATGCTATCCCACGATGTAAGGTCGACGCGTAGATTTTTCAGTGACCGCAGATTTTGCCGGATGGTGTCTACGAGTTCACCCAAAGATTCCGGCGAATCTCGCGATAATCGAGGAAATGATAATATCGCGTCGCAGTGTTTGATTAATATCTTTCGTCGGCAGTCATATTTTTCCTTCAATAATTCAATGGCGTCAATGTAGTTCGCATCTGTGGTACTCAGACATTGAATAGACGCGGCAGCCCTTCCGGTTAGCGTAGATCTTAAGTATTGTAATTTTTGGACTGGTGTTAAATCGGGGTTCTGGTCTATCATGGATGTGAAGCTATCGAAATATGACGTCCAATTCTCAATACTGCCGTCGAACGTCGGCAGACGCATTTCTGGTAGCTTAATTGCCATCGGAGCCGTTACGGTGTGTACGGAATCGGAGGTGTCGCGACGTGAAGTTATGTTTGACCGTTCACCTTCGATTAACGCGTTGGCTTGCGCGATGGCGGTTATATATTTCCCGTGTATTTCAAAACGACGCGGTGCCTCTGTTTCGTCAAGTTCTTCCAACTCGAATTGCACGGCATCGAAACGCTCCCAAATCTCGTGCATACCCTGAACGTGCGTGCGTAGAAGGCCTAAATCACGTTTTTCCGAAGCTCGCATACCTTCAATGACTTTTTCAAGCGTAGTAATATGTCCTACGATATTCCCGCGTTTACGACGCAGGGAACTAACGTTAATACCCTGAGAGGCGGATTGGGCGACGGATGGTTCTTTCGGCATTTTTGGAATGGGATAACTATTACGTATGACGGAATTGGCTATAAAATGACGAGCCTACCTTTGCGATGCGATGATTCACGATGATTGAAGTCGGTTGACACGTTCTATCCGGATATTGCTGGGTTGAACGTGTTGCGTAGTGGCGGGACGTAGACAGCTACTGGACCAGTCTCTGTCTCAATGGCTGCTTCGAATTCCCTTGGATGTAGTGTTGAATCCGAATAGATGATGAACCTGGGGTCTGGCTGCCGATGATGTGACAGACAGTTCACGTCTTCCAATGTTCTTCAATACAGAGCCGATTCACTCACGACAAAATCTTAAAGTTTATACAGAACTTGATCACTATACACTGTTACACCACGGTTTGAAAGTTTAAATGTCACTGTTCAAATCCGGCTCGAAGGACCAAATGATTTTTGCGAAATACGCGGCACACTGTGACTAACCGATTGATTGAATCGAAGTCGACAGGGGTTGTAAATCCTTGCCTGAATGTTACAGCAATGTGGTCGCGTACGCCCTTACGTCGTTTTATCGAGGTAAGGATAATATTGGGTGTTGAGTAGATAGTAAAGAACTCAAATTGATTTTAAAGTAACACCAAATAAACTATTTAATTTTATGGAAAACGAAAACTTAACCAATTTCAGAGTTATTATTACAAGTGTAAAGTGTTTGTGTTTGAAAGAAAATATGAAGTTTTCCTACGATTACTATGTTCCGTCTTATGAACGGATGTTAAACTGTCTTGCTATGGGAAATTACAACGTTTTCGTACGTAAAAGATTTTTTTTAAAGCAAGGTCTTTATCGTTCGGTAATTTTTCTGAGACTGCCCTTACAGTACTTGTTTCGGAGAAGGAAAACTAAAAGAAAAATAGAGAAATGGGAAAACTGTTTTGATTGGATTTAGAGTTTGCCAATAGGATTGCTTAAAAAAGGACACCACCCTACCCCGTGCGCTCTGAGCGCGGTCCGTGCGGAGTACGGTGGGCCTTGTGGGGGTGTGAAGAGAAAACGGACGTAAGACAGAATTTCCGTTGGGTTGTCAACAAGGGGACCTGTTTTATGTCTCCTTAGGCCCTGTCCTCGGACCCTCAGGAAATTCACGTTTATGGCATTGGCAATTAGCTGTTGAGACCGTCGAGAGAACTTGAACATAGAAATCGTAAATCTAAAAACTACAAAAAGACTCTCAAAAACAGCTCTGATACTTGCATGCCATGAACGCGCTAGCAACGTGCAGGCCAAATGTTAATCCCGGGTACAAGTTGCTAGCTGCCTTCGTGAAAACAAAGTCATAAATCTAAAGGTTTTAAATATACTGTATGAAACTCGATTTTTAATATGTACCGTGAAACAGTGGCCTGTGTGTTATGGTCAGGGAGGACGTGAAGGTGTGCGATGCAAGGGTGTTTCAAAGAGATGAGTCAAAAATGGAGAGCTTATTAGTGGAGATAGAGACAAAAAATGGAAGGATTGAAATAGTGGTGGTGTATAGGAGACCGGGAGGGACGATATCAAAAAGGGATTGTAGAATGCTGCTAGCAAATGCGAGGGGAAGGGGGAGGAGAATTTTTGTGGGAGATTTTAACGCAAAAAGCAGATTGTGGAATTGTGATAGCGAGGATCAAGGGGGAGAACTGCTGGGGGTGGTATTAGAGGAGGAGGACCTTGTCGTGGTCAACCACAGTACCCTGTCGAGAGTAGGAAGACCAGATCAAACGGCCTCAAACATTGATCTGATTGTAGCGCCGGCTGAGATGGGACTAGAGATGAGGGCCAAAGAAACGGGGGAAACTCTGGGGTCAGATCATCAGATAATTGAATTTGAGTGGAAGGAGGAACTGAGTGTGGTCGGAGAGAGGAGGGGGTACAGAAAGTACAAGATGGGGAAGATAGACAAGAGGGAATTCCTGAAGTGGCTCATTGGGGCTGAGAGTGGGGTTATGGGAATAGATGTCTAGGGTGGATAAAACCACGGAACATCCCAAAGAAGCTCTGTACGCGAATAAGAAAGTTGAGAGAAAAGGGTTCAAGACACCGAATGACGACGCTAGGCAACCACGAAAATGCTACAATTGCAACAAAATCGGGCACATGGCGAAGGATTGCCGTATGAGAGTAAATAGAAGTAAAAGAGGTCCCGAAACAAGGCTCCTGAAAAATTATGATGCGTTTCTCGTAAGTTTAAACAACGTAGATTTAAATGATTCATGGCTTTTAGACAGCGGGTGTACGCACCACGTATGTAAAAGACGCGATTGGTTCACAAGGTTTAGATCCATCGACAGCGAAGTAGTAAACACCGCAGCGGATCCTGAAAAAGGAGGAAGTACAATCCTAAAAGCGCAAGGTATAGGAGATATAATTGTAAATATGATTATAGGTAACAGGCGGAAGACCGTTGTACTGTACAATGTGTACTATGTGCCAAATGTACGAAGAAACCTCATGTCAGTATCTCAGATCGAGCAAAAAGGAAAGGAGCTGCTGATAAAGAATGGCATTATAAGAATAAGAAATACCAGAACCAACGAAATCATTGGTATAGCGTATAGGAAGGACGATTTATACATAGTCAGAGCCGAAGTGAGTACAAATGTAAATTTACGAATGGAATCGCATGCAACGAACATAGAAATGAATCAACAAATATGGCACAAACGCTTCTGTCACGTAAGTAATGATATTATTAAAAAATTAATGGATACGAATCGCGTAACTGGGTTAGAAAATACAAGAACGAACAATTATACCTGCAACGCATGTAATATGAGTAAAGCAACAAGAGTTGCCAGTAGAAAATTAACCTTTAAGCAGACAAAGGGAACGTGTGAATTAATTCATAGCGATGTATGTGGCCCTATGCCAACCGATTCGATTGGCGGTAATAAATACTTTATAACATTCACAGACGATTTTTCCAGACACACTAAAGTTATATGCATGAAATCCAAGGACGAAGCAAAGAATTGCATTAAGGAATATATTACCAGAGTTGAGCGCGAAAAAGGTAAAAAGATAAAAAGATTCCGCACAGACAATGGTCTGGAATTTTGCAATAAGGAGTTAGACACGTATTTCAAGACGTTGGGAATCAAACATGAAAAATCAAATGTAGATACCCCACAGATGAATGGAGTGGCAGAAAGAATTAATCGTTCACTTCTTGACCTGACGAGAGCAATGCTCAAATCAGCTCACCTGCCGCAAAGATTCTGGGCAGAGGCTATAACGACTGCAGCTTGGGCAGAGGCTGTAACGACTGCAGCTTACATTAAGAATCATGTTTGCCATTCTGCTATCAATGAT